GTGAGTAGAAAATGAAGGCTAATCATGTTTTGGGTGTACTATTCCTTTAAGAGTAACACATTATTATGAGACATCTATCACGATTTATGTTCCAAAATGAGAATGATTTTTAATAAACATCCCATTATTATGACGAACTAACTTTTTTTAGTCACTGTGACAGAAACAGGATTCCTGTGACCAGCCGATTGTTTCTGTGTCAGAGTGCTGAAGAGAGAGAACCAGTTTGGGTAAATTGGCTCATTTGCGCATGATAAGCCTACCCAGGGAGCTGTCTGTCCCTATGAAACGCTGTTTTTTAGATTTTAAATGAGGTGTTAATGTTTCGTTTAACGCTTGCATGGAGCTCCGCGGGAGGCGTAATTGCGCGAGGCGAAGACACGGCGGCAGGGCGCGCGGACACAGTGGCGGAGCGCTGATATCAGTGGGAACACGCTGGCAGACGCTGACAAGGATCTCGGCTGTGAAGTGACAGTAATCCCGCTGTAGTAAATGCACCCCCCGCCCTCAGCCCCATCTCCTCTCACAAACAACTATTGCTTTGTTTTAAACAAATCAAGTCACGTCCTTCAACAGCTTTGCAGCTCAACATGAACTATTAACTCTGCAATAAAATAACTGTGTCCCAATTCTGCAAACAGCTTGTTGCTGCAGTATGTCTTGATTTTGTTTGTGATCTCTCCTTTATCTTCTTTAGAAAGGAGTTTCCTGCATTGCTTCTTAAGATCTTTTGAACACTTTTGTAATGGGAAACAGAGTCTCTGTGGGTTTAGCTAGTTTAAATTAACTCATCTACCAAAATCATTAGTAGTAGTGAAAACAGAAAATAAAAATTACACCTGTTTGTGGTTCTCTGCTGTCTCTGGTGTCTTGTGGTTCTAAAACTATTTTTCATCGATGTCTCTTTGAACTAACGTTTCACTAGAACAAAGATCAGTGTCCCAAAGAACTAATCGGTTTAACTGCTCACCATTATAAGCTCTACCACACATGTAAGCTTTCTTGTTTAAATTTTTTACTTCTGATACTTTAACATCACCCAAAAGTCCGGCCAGGTACAT